GTATGTCCTTTTAATATGTGGAGAAAACAGCATGGGTTCAGAAAGGTAGATTTCTTTTATGCAGGATTATGATGAAAAGGAACAAAAATTAATAGAGAAACAGGACAAAACAGTTCAGAATAAGAAATATCAGAAACTGAGAAAAACTAACTTTTATAGGAATGTTGCTGGATCATTCTTGGATAACTGATGCAGAATCAATTGTAAAGTCAAGTCCAACAGCTAAGCTGCAGCTGATCCTGGTGAATTAGGTAGGTGTAAATGAATCCAATTACACCTCTGTTTAGTATTGTAAAGCTCCATTATGCCTGATTTGTTTCTGATGGCATCTGCTTAATTGTTTTTTCTGATTAATTCAGAGAATCTTGACATTAGAAAACAACCACCTGATGGCTATGTTGCATACCCACAGCATGCTTTCATACAACGCATAAAGTAGAGCACACCTTGTTCCCTTGGAGCAATAAATGAACAACTATGACATACTGCTAATGGTTAGAATATGGATGACCGAAATGGGTGGGTGGTTTTCATCAGACATTTAGCATTAAAATGTATTCATACTATGCAGAAAGAGAAGCAGACATACACTGGAAGACAATCTTTGGTAAGGGATTATTTAAGACAAGAAATTTCCCTTCCTTGAAATGGAGGAAGCCTGGAAGTAATGTGTTTTCTGATTCTTGTATTTGCAGAAACATGACAGATAATAAATGAAGGTGAGACACTCTGTAGCTTAGAAATGAACCCTGATAGGTGAGTCTAACATAAACATTCAGAAGAAAAAGTCTATTCTGAGTTCCAAATCAAGTCTGAAGCTTAATATGTGGATTTCAGTGACTAGCATATGGTTCTGGACCTGGGACATTGCCAAATCATTACATATTTGTTATATTGACTCTTTGCACATGTGCTTGTTGGTCAACAGACAGAGTAAATGAATCCTAAATGAAGTGAATTCTGGCTCTTAAAAAATCCAAAGGACAGTAGTTAGTGTTTTTCAGCCTTAGGAACTTTAAGAAGTGTGGACTTCAACTCCCAGAATTCCTCAGCCAGTGTTCTGGTTGGGAAATTCTGGGTGTTGAAATTCTTAAAGTTCCTAAGGTTTAGAAACTTTATCCAATACCCAAGGTGGCCAGAAAGTCTTCCATTTTCTGTACTTTAACACTTAAACTGTATAGTGATAATGAGAATACATAGCTGTTTATTGAGATTCTATTTTTTCAGTGCTTCTTGGAAAGAACATGTGATCACAGAATTCAGATATGAGAGAAACATCATCCTAGCAATGAGTACTGAGGCTTTTCAAATATCGAAGAACTGAAAAAGGAAGACACTTCAGCTATTTGGTGCAATGGATCATAAACACACAACATCTGGCTTTTCAAAAAGGCCAGAAGCCAGAGTGATTTGTGATTCTGAATACTATAGAACAGACATCTGTCATTTAAGTACATTTTCCCCTCAATGCACTATATTTGCTTATATGGTTTTACATTGTTTGTGTTGTTGTTATCTTGCCTTTTCATATATACACAACTCAAAGCTATGAATATGCCTGATACTCCTGGTTCCTATCAATCAAATATTTATTATAGATCAGCATAAGAAGGGTGAAATACAAACAATAATTTTAGCAACTAAAGAATATAAACTACACAAAATTTAAAAAAACCCTTAACATCTATATGTCTATATCTATATCTAATTCAGTGTTTCTCAACCTTGACAATTTTAAGGCATGTGGACTTCAACTCCCAGAATTCCACAGCCAGCATTGCTGGCTGTGGAATTCTGGGAGTTGAAGTCCACATGCCTTAAAATTGTCAAGGTTGAGAAACACTGATTCTAATCTATCAAAAAAATCTAAAAAAACCTAAAAGGGGGGTTTAAAACCCCCCATAAAATTAATATGTGGCTAACTAAATTTATCATAATACAAAATAGCCTGCTTTCTCTTTCCCCCACAATATTAATTCTGTGAAATGGGAAAGTGGCTTTCATGCTTAGGGTGAGACTAGAATTCACAGTCTCCTGGGTTTTAGGCCAGCACCTTCATCACTAATGCTGTTTTATGCTGTTTTAATTCTATGTCACCTCGAGATTTTGGATTTCACATCCTATAATTCTTAATATATCAATTTTAAGTAATTTTCCTGAATATTTGAATTATGTACTCACTAGGAATCAGTTCCCAAAAGATAACTCAGATAGGTTTTGTGTTATCCATATATTCTTCCCCTAACCTATCTTTAGATCCTGGGTGGAGCCTTTCTTTCAAGTTGGAAGATTTCATACAGTACCTTTGTTTTTGTGACATACAAAGAAATCCAGAGAGAATAATTTTCTGGGAAAGCCAATATGCAATCTGCACTATGCAAAATCCAGATAACTTCCCAAATCTCACCTTAGGCACAAAGTAGGAAACTCATAAAAAGTTTCTCCTGGCAGCTTCCTTTTTTAGCTGTTTTTGGGGCCTTTTCAGCATTTATGTCAGCTGGTAACTTGATGGCCACCCTCTTCTAAAAGTGTTGACATTTATGAACTTCTGTTTTTAAACATTTAAGCAAGATGGGAGACTACTAGAAAATTCAAGCTATGTACATCCAATTGGGAAGATTAAAAAAATAATCTCAAAGCCAATGGCAAACCATTTCTTGTACTGTCACTTTGAAATCAATATGTTTATCAAGTCAGGAGTTCAGTCCATCCCAAAACAAAATGTACTTTTATTTAACCCAGAATAACATTCAATCTAATAGCTGCTTATTAACAAAAAAATTCCTTCCTTTTCATTGAATGAAACCGAAGGGTCTTTTTAAGACAGAGGATGGGTGGAAGGAAGAATCTGGTAAGTTTGGCTGATGATTCATGTTTTGAACATCCCATCTTTTCCAACAAAAACATTTTGTATCAATTATCTCAGGCTGGATTACAATAGCTGGGGAAGGTGAGATGAATTTACCAATCAGATTATTTAATGTATGCTATTCAAGACCCCATGTGGTCTGAATCAAAGCCATCTTAAGGGGCATTGTATGCACCACAGTATCATCTTTATTTCTGGACATTTACTTCTGGCTGGACCCTGAAGAGTTGCTAGCAATAGCTTAGTGGTGATAGTGATAGGAATGGTAAGAAAAAGCAATTTTCTAAAATATTTCATATCAACTTCCTTACAGATATAGAAATTTAAAGGCATAAGAAGTGAGAATATGTAATACAATGGAACTAAACAGCAGCAACTACCACAACAAATCAGGGTGATTTAAATCACTAGTCAGGCAGACTTGATTAAATTATTTACATCACAATTTATTCATTAGTCAGGGAGATTCTATCATTATTTCTAGCAAAAGTGCACTCTTGTTTGGTACTTCTTGAATACATACTCTTCCTCTGAGAGAAATGTAATTAAATTTCATTTTTGGTTGGTACATACCATATAAAGCAATTATTTAATCAAATTTTTACAGATTAATTTTCAGGTGAAAATGGAATGATAAACTTAATACTAAGCAAGAAGATAAATTATTTTTCTGCCCTGTAATAAATAAATCCTGTTATCTCCAGCTTCACCAAAACAGTTTGCTGCCTCCCACACACACAAAAAAAGGAAAGGAAAGGAAAGGAAAGGAAAGGAAAGGAAAGGAAAGGAAAGACTATCCCAAAGGGCTGAAAGTGACCTTGAAGGTCTTATAATCCAACTCCCTGCCCCAAACAGAAATCCTTATATCATATTGGAGAAGTGGTTGCCTAATCTTTTCTTGAAAATCTTCAACAATGGAGCACTGACAGTTCTGGTATCAATTGAAGCACGAAGGGAAAAATAGCAGTATCACTTAGATTTTATACCACTCCATAGGGTTGTATAGCACTCTCTGAGCAGTTTGCAATGTCACCAAATTGCCCCCAAGAACCTGGGTCCTTATTTTGTCGATCTTGGAAGAATGGAAAGTTAAGTTAACCTCAATCTCACTCAGGATTGAACTCCAGACCGTGGGCAGAATTAGCTTGCAATATTGCACTCTAACCACTGCACCATCAGGGCTTAGAGTTATGTCAGTGCATGTAGCTTCTTATGGCAAGGACAATTTAACACAAGAGTGATGTTCCATAGAGAGGGACATTATATAAACTCCCTTTTGTTGTTTCATTGAATGAAACACAACATTCATCTTGCAGAATGTTCTTCTTCAACATTCCCCCAACTTTCAACTGGACTGGGCTCGTAGTTCTAATCCAGCCTTCTTGGTCATCCTAAATCTCCTTCTGATCTGATCCCATCCGATCCTATCCCATCTCAGGCATTTGTAAACAATCTTAATATCTGTCCTGAAATCATGTTTGAAAAAGACACCTAACTATAACCCTGATCGCATACCGAGACAGTTGTAATGGCTCCATCCTCTGAAAGGAAATGTGAAAAAAAGTCATGTATGGATGAATGGATGATAGATACAGCATACTGGCTGGATAATTCTGGGAACTGAAGTCCACACAACTTAAAGTTGCCAAGGTTGAGGAACACTGAGATAGAGAATGAATAGGTAGCAGTAGAAAAAGTAGCAGGGGAAAAATATTAGTTAAGGTATCTTACAATAATAACAAACTTCAGAAGTTTATTAAAGTGCACAGTATTATATTTACTTATTCAGTTTGTATGGATGCTCATTTCAAATAGTGATTCTGGGAAGGGAACAGTCTTAAAATAAATTAAAAACAATTTCTAATCATAAGTAGAAAACATAAAATACACAGCAACCGAGGAAGATGTCAGAATCAACAGCTGTTAGCATAGTCAGGGCTCCAGTCCCTGACACATTACTATTATAATAGTATTACTGTTATTGTATATGCAATACAGATGATTCAATAAGAACCAGTCTGTAGCATGGAAATGCAATAGAGATACATCAGCATCATTTATTAATTATTTTACACCACCCTCCTCCCAAAAAAGGTTCAATGCACAGGAGAGGAAAAAAGGTCCAAAATACCTGTTTTGTTGGAAAGACGGAATGACACCATTTTGTCAGAAATATTGCAGACGTTCCTGACTGATGCAATGCAGCTGTAATTGGCGTAGTCCTGAGGTCGAAGGTTCTTCAGCTTTAGAATCTTGGTTTCACCCTGCAGCCAGCACAAGGCAAGATTATTATTATATTTCAAGAAAGAACATGCAAGATAATACATGAAGGCACTCTATTCTAAAAGGATAGCCATGTTGCAACTTTGTCCAATTTAGCATCTTCCAGATGTGTTCAAACTGCTACACATTTACAACTGCATCTCTCGATGCCAAGTGAATTGAATGCCAACATATCTGGCATTCATATTTGGCACAGTGTTTTTCAAAGATGATCAGGGGACTGGAAGCTAAAACATATAAAGAAAGGTTGCTGGAATTGGGTATGTCTAGTTTAATGAAGCGGTATACCAATATCTCAGGGGTTTCCACAAGGCAAGCTATTCTCCAAAGCACCTGAAGGTAGGACAAGAAGCAACGGATGGAAACCAATCAAGGAGAGAAGCAACCTAGAACTAAGGAGAAATTTCCTGACATTAATTAATCAATGGAATAACCTGCGTCCAGAAGTTGTGAGTTCTCCAACACTGGAAGTTTTTAAGGAGAGATTGGACAACCTTTTGTCTGAAATGGTATAGGGCAGAGGTCTTCAAACTTGGCCCTTTTATGACTTGTGGACTTCAACTCCCAGAATTCCTCAGCCAGCATGCCTGGCTGAGGAATTCTGGGTTGAAGTCCATAAATCATAAAAGGGCCAGGTTTGAAGACCCCTGGTATAGGGTTTCCTGCCTGAGGAGTGGGTTGGACTAGAAGACCTCCAAGGTCCCTTCCAACTCTGTTATTCTATTCTATTCTAAACTGGCAAATTTTAAGATGGACTTCAACTCCCACACTTCTCCATTATGGCTTGGGAATTCTGGAAATTTAAGTTCTCACATCTTAAAGTTGCCAAGTTTGAAAAACACTGCCTCAACATATCCAATCAAAATATGTGTTGGCTCAATTGTTTTATTTCCAAGCAGAGATTATTTTTCTTGCTTGTCTCTAACTGAAGTTTGGGGGAAGGTAGTCTACTCAACGGCACATCAGCACTGCAAATATCCCCCTTTTCCTTATTAAGTCCTTTTCCTATATTATGTTAGTTTCCCTTCTTTAAAAAAATGCTGCATTGAATAAGAGAGAGAAAGTTACCTGGATTCAAACATCATACTAAACAATGGTTTGCTGTTACTATGGCTTTTTAACCCAATCATAATATTTTGTTTCACATGTAAGCCTAAGCCATTTAGAAACAATGACTTGGTGTTTAATCTAATGACTTGGTGTTTAATCCAAAAGAAAACAAATTATTTAAGCAATCCAAAAGAAACAAACCACTTAGTATCTTAATGCAATGTGTGAACTAACTGCTAGCTTCCCTCTTGGATGGCTTGTACTTTATAGCGGTTTTTGAGACATTTGATACAGCACAGATAGTAAGAAATCTGTATTGTATACTAAGATTAAATTGGAAACACTTCTAAGACTGTGCAAACCTCACACAAGAGAAACCATGCTTTACATTTGCAATATTTTGTGTTAGGTAGCAGTTGATTATTTACATTTGTATCTGCTACAGTTAAGTGTTATGGACATTGATTTCAAACTTCCCAAGCACAGGAATCACCATTCCTCAGTGTAATTGTCAGCCTTCTTGCCAACCAATAGTAAATGTCGAAGCCTTGCAGGCCATGATTCAAAGGCACTGCTTCTGCTAAGCCAGTTTTACTGCAAGAATTTAGAAAAAAATATTCTACAACTACAATATTTAAAATGTGGGCCATAGGTTCAGCACAATCAAAAGTAATTTTTTTAATATTTTTTATGCCTGGATGGGCTGAATGCTTCTTAATTTGAGGCAGGAGGAGAGATCAATATCTATGTATTGTTGTAGACTATATGGTAGATGACAAGCTGTCTGCAAGGACTATAAATCCTTCCATTCCCAACCATCCAGTCAGAGCTGAAGAAGCTTATTCGATGAGAAGTAAAACAACAAAAACAAGAAAGTCCAGTTGCCTCATGAAAAAGCACCACTGGGATAACTGTAACCTGGATGACTGAGAATCTCCATAGACTGTATAGACTGTTACAGATCAGTTTAATATTAGGTTATTTTCTCCTGACCGTGACTAATGGTACGCAGAGTGGCATCACCCCAATCTATACGACACCAGAGAAAAAAACTATAAGGTCTTTGTGTGCAGATTGAAAACTGAAAGTTACCAGAGAAATTCTACTGAGAGAGTGAACAACACATGAGGTATGCATTGCAAAAGGGCACTTTAATGAGCAGCAAGGAGTGATAAAACCCTTATCTCAATATAAAGTGAGTTTATCAGTTTAAAAAAAATCATTCAAGAAGATGGAACAGTGATCTCAGATTGTGAGTATAGATGTACAACGTAATGTACCATTCTGGAAGGTAGGAAGATATGAGTAGGCTGTTCAGGAAGACAGGAGTGTGTTTTTTTGTTGGAAATATGACAAACTATAATGAGAGCTAGAGGAGAATCCAGAAATGGCATGAAATTGAAGCCAGAATTCTTCTTTAGTTGGCCAAAGGTATGATGACGCCCTAGTCTTATATATCTATTTTCAGAAAAAGGTTTCAACACAAGATACTGTATATGCAAGCCTGTAAAAACCTAGACCTGTTTCATGCTTGTATTAGAAGGGAAATAATTCATTCCACTGGGATTTTTCATGTTTTTTTTTTCTTCCTTTTAATCCACAGGAACAATCTGTATTCATTTATATTTGTAAATTGCTTTGGACACACAGTCCCCTGATTTATGTAGCTTTTAATGTAAAATGCCTAGGAACTTATTTTAAATGCAAATTTCCTCCACAATCATTCCTTCTAATACTAATTTTTCCAGTGTAGGCTTTTAAGATGAACACTTTCCTGATGTAAGCTCTTTTTTGTACAGTAATATAGCTACTGCAGTCTACACAAAAGACTTAGTGGTTTTTGTTTAGGATGGAAGATAAACACAACCATCACCTGATGTTAGTATCCAGGCAATTCAAAATCTGCTAACACAATCAGTCTCAGATAATTTTCCAAGTTTGATTTCAGACTCAAGTCACATATGGTTCAATATAAGTCCCAGATTCCAAGATTTGTGTAATTGGTCATTTAACTTCACTTGGATATTAATCTTTTAGGTAGAAGAATTATTGATGCAGCATCCAATTTCTTAGCAATATCCAACACTTGAAAGTTTTTTTAAAATGGGGAGTGATTTTGGTGAATCCAGGTAACATAACTCTGAAGTTGGGTGGCCATTTAATTTTCTTAAATAAATAAAATAGATCTGGTGTTTGGAAGACCTGTGCCTGTTTCTTGGATGTTCTGGTGCACAGATTCGCCTTAGGCTGGGGGTGTGGAATCTGGTTCTATGAGAGAGGATTGGAAAGAAGGAAGGATGTTCATAAGCTAAGTTGTGTCCTGGCATTGTAGAAAGGAATTGGGAGGTGGAAAAGTGTTTACAGGGATAAAGTCTGCTGGAGACCCAGGCAGGCGAGTCAGTGCTAGAAATTGTATTTGCCTCAGTAGGCACAGATTCTTTCTTATGCCACTGCTTTCGTAACCAACTACAATGCAGCTGTGGCCACAATGTTTGCACTCAATGGAGTTACAGCTGTACAAGAGGAAACCAGCAGGGGCACAGGCAAAGAAAAGGCAGAAGCAAGCCATCCAAGTCACACCAAATCAATTTTATTGACCTATACATCTGCTTTGTACTCTGAAATGTACTATGCTGCTTTGAAGACTCAATGTACATTGCTTGTTGGATCTTTGGAAAGAGCCCAGGTTGAAGTAGAGTTTGAACTATAGTAGTCCTTGACATAGAACCATTCATTTAGTGACTGTTTGAAGCTACAGCAATGCTGAAAAAAAAGTTACTTAAAACCTGTTCTTACACTTACAACTGTAACTGCATCCAAACAGTCACACAATAAAAATTTGGGTGCTTCACAACTAGCATCTATTTACAAAAGTTGCAGTATTCCAGGATTAGGTGATTGGTATTTGCTACCTTCCCAGTTGGCTTTCAACAAGCAAAGTTAATGGGGGAAGCTGGATTTGCTTAACAGTTACATAATTCACTTAACAACTGTGATGAATTGGTTAACAACCATGGAAAAAACGGTTCTGGTCCCAATTGTGTAAGTTGANTTTTAAGAAGAGACTGGACAGCCATTTGTCCGAAATGGTATAGGGTTTCCTGCCTGAGCAGGGGGTTGGACTAGATGACCTTCAAGGTCCCTTCCAACTTTACTATTATTATTATTATTATTATTATTATTATTATTATTATTATTATTATTATTATTATTATTATTATTATTATTATTATTATTATTATTATTAAGGTCTGTCATGTAGAAGATGGAGTAGAATTGATCAGGTTTGGTTTATGAAATAAAGAAAAAAACCCAATGGATTTAAATTACAAGGAAATAGATTTTAATTAGACATCAAGAAAAAAAATCTTAATGATAAGAGCTGTTCAATATTGGAACAGACTGCCTTGTGAAGTGGTTGATTCTCCTTCACAGGAAGCGTTTAAACAGAATCCCGCAAAGGCAAAAAACATCACAATATGTTATGATACGCCATGTGAAGCTATCAAGTTTGGCACCCATGCTATAGTAGTAAATTCTGCTAAGTTCAGAGCAATAGGTCACATGATCTGCAAGATCCCTTTCAATACTCTTGATTGTATGAAATGTGAGAAGTTAGGAAGATTGTTGACTACCATAGATGTGATTGTACAATCAAGGGTAGAATAATTAAGGACATGCCTCAATGTGATAAGGGCAAGCACTCTACAACCCTCTCATAGGGATCTCACCAATGGTTTGGTCTTTTCTATCACCATGAATGAGAATGGTTAAAATCAAAATGCAAAATAACATTTTGGCATAGCACTAGTTGAAATTGATACATTTGAACACAAAATATTTTAATGTATAGTGGAAATTATCAACTGTATTGACAGGATTGGGGCCAGATGAGACAATAATCATGTTACCCACCCCCAACTCCCCCAAT